TGTGTGTGTGTGTGTGTGTGTGTGTGTGTGTGTGTGTGTGTGTGTGTGTGTGTGTGTGTGTGTGTATAACAGCAGTGCCTGTTTGTTAACCTGGTCACAGATGAGGTCCCACTTCTTCTCGTTGTCGTACTGCCGTAGGAGGCGAGCTTTGTCAGGAGGAAGATTCATTGAGTTCTGAAAACACCAAACATTAGCATCAGTTTACAGCAGCAAGTTTATTTTATTTCTTTTTTTTTTTTTTCATTTCTGCGCGTCTATTTATAGTTGTTGTGTCTGAGTTTCAGAGGCCTCTGGCGCCAGCGGCTGCGTACAGGACCAAATTTTCGGGGACTTCACACCGTGACCTGACTTCCTGTGTTGACATTCAGCATCCTGTTGAAGGAGATGATCCGCACCTCCTCCGGTCTGCTCCTCACTCACTCGGCCTGCGCTTTTGTTTTTGACCACAACACGCTGCTATCGGAGCGGCGGACCCACCGCCAGATCTGTCGTCTACTTCAGAAATCAATTTAAAGGGTGATAAAATAAATGGTGATGTAATATTTTCCCTATAATTGTTACAAAAACACAAAATAAGTATAAATAAGTATTTATATTTGAGTAGCCTTTGTTTTAGGGTTATTAACAAAGTTTGTGTACTCAGCCCAGTAATATTTGGGGTCACAAGTTTTTGCCATGAATATTTTGTGGGTCAGAAGATRAAAAGTTTGGGAACCACTGGTCTAAAGCAGCCATAAAAAAACACTTCAACACCATACGAGATGTCCTGAGGCAGACTGTTTACTAGGCTCAAATTAAACCCTAAATGCTCCAATTTGTGTTAGCAGACCACAGCATTTAGATGGTTTATGTTCTCATGACAACTGAAAAAAAAAACACAAACTGTATGACAGAAGCTTTTGACTAACTGCTTCCTTTATTGGGCCACATGCTTGTAAACAGAGGAAATCTTAAAAACGAGGAAGCCTAACAATAAGAGAAACAATCGCTGAAACTGATCGCTTCAGTGATTTTCTTTATAGACATATAGGGAGGGTTTTTTTTTCTGTTTTGATTTTATTTGTTCTAGGGAAGCCCCACCATGACACGAGAGCAACCACAAACCGGCTGCAAGCCTGACTTTTTAACCTGCGGCCGTAACTCAGCCTGCTGTCCAGAGCGCAACACGCTCTGCCCTTTTAACCCACTTCAGGCCACATGTGACGTCCACGCTGCCGCTTATTCAACGTTTCATGCGCGGAAAAACAGCAGAGACCTTCCCGTGACAACCGCTCAGTCACTGGTGGAGGTGAAACATCACGTACGAGCATCAAAATGTGTTCCTCGAGTCGTTTTTCACGTGACGACTTAAGTTAAGCTGATAAATTCTCGTTTAAATCCCAGTTTGGGATTACGATATTTATRATAAACAAACTTCTTTGTGAAAATACAGACATGTATGAGAACGCTATGGATAGAAGCGCCGAGATGTTAAAGATGGGATATTTTGATGACTTAAAACCCCACGCAGAAAAAAAATAAATAAATGTGTGTGTGTAGGGGAGGGGGTGTGTGTCAGCATGCATACCAGATGTTCAGAATTACAGGAGGAATGTGTCCTGTTTATAGTAGTAGTTTATGGCGGTAAATTTTCTCCCTCGTCTGACCTGTGAGCCGCTCTTTCCTCTCCGGGGAGAATTTTTTTTTTGTGTGTGTGTTACCAACTTCTCCGACTTTGGGAGAGCTTTGCTCAGATCTGCAGCGTTTCCCGTCTGTATCACTCCTTTGATGAACTGTCTGAGGTTGTTTTTTTTCTCCTTCCAGTAGCTGCATTTGGTTTCAGAAAGCGAAGCTTTGTCTTAAATGAAAGAAGTTATTTTAAAAAGAAAGTAAGAGATCTCAGGGATCAAGCTGCAAATATCTTTAGTGCTTGTTGCCGAAACAGTGGCGATAATGTTTTTGCTGCTGTGTGTGTGMCTGTTAGCAAAATATCTCATGAACTAATGGACAAATTTTGTTACAACTCTCAGTGAGTAATCATTTAAAGTGTATCTACGGACTCACTTTGGAGTCAAACCAATCCAAGATGACCGCCACCACGAACTGCCCTCAGCCAATAAAAAAACGGCTATAATTCAGTCAGTTTTACAGAGACTGAGATGAAATTTGATGCGGTAGTAGCTGAGAGTTGCTTACACTTCAGAAGCCAAGCTCAATCATATCTGGCAATATATTGCAATTTTGCACATAKTCTTGTTTTCAAGTTTTAATTAAAATGGCTTTAACTCAGTCATTTCTCAACAATCTTGGTCTAAAACTGGCATTAAAGGCAGCAGGTGAGGCGTACTCCTTCATGGTACGCCAACCCTTTCATTTAATTTTGTTAATCTAGAAAATAAAGTATAGAGCCTTCCTCGCTTGTGACTTTCATTCTTCCCGTAAGTGTTTTTTATTTTGTTCAGGTGCCTGGTCATTTGGGAGGTTTTAAATCACAGCTTTAGAACCAGTCCAGCTAGTCTACTGTACTTGGCTCCACACAGCACTGACTGGGTATAAAATGACATTTACCCACCTGCTATTGTAAGCAGCTACCCATAAGAAGAAGGGGGAAAAAAATACAGCTCAAATGTCAAAGAATGGGTATGGCACCGCATCAGTTCAGTACAAAGCTCAACACTGGATCCTTTGTAAAGCCAGTCTCAGGTCAAACCAGACAGCCTGAGCAGGAGGGGAGGATGTAGGCATCCTGGCGACACAACAAGCACAAACATTTTTGGCATTTCTGGCGTATTTTTCTCCTAAAAAAAAGGCCTAATGGTTCCCAAACTTTGAAGTGCTGCTGCTCGCTCTCCCACAACAAAACAGACTCTCTTTTGGCTCCTTATAAACACAGGAAGTGAAAGATAGCATCGGTGTGGGAGAAAGTGTAATGAAATTAGTTTAATTGGGTTACTTGGCTCGAATTCCCCAAATCTTCTCAGAGGGGAAACCTCGTTTCTGTCTGTCTGTCATTCCAATAAAACGTGTTTACATCACCTGAGGCTCCAACAGATGGCTCATAAGGACCTTTTGAGCAACTGATCATCATCAAAACACTTTTCCTTTTTGACCTCGAATGAACAATTTCACCTCTGAAATCACCAAGTCTGACGTAGCAACAGGAAGGAACTTTATTTTTCCTCTGTTCCTTTGTCTTAGCTTAATGGATGAGTATCTCTGTGAGCATCTGGTCTGCAGGTTTCCTAGAAAATCAGAATCAAATTACTTCAAAAGGAGACCTTGCTCTTTGCCTGTTTGCCCCACAGTTCTACTTGAGTATGCATGACCGATCAGAAAAACAAAAGGAAGCAGCCGCTAAGGTCGGAAACACTCTGSAGTAGTTATCCAGGCTTTTATTTTTGTGTTTCACTTGAGTGTTTGAGGGCAAAAGTGAACCTCTGTGATTTATTTAAAGAGCTTACTTGGTAAAAATAGCATTTGATTTTTTTTATTTATTAATGTTTTATTAAACATTGAAAGTTTCCTTCACAGGAACAACGAGCATTAAAATAAAGTCATGAGAGCTCTAATTAACTTTAATTTTTAAATCATAATATGGTGCTGGAAATCACAATTATAGCACAACCCATCCAGGTGAGGGTATATAAATTAGAAACATTTGAGCCAATAACAAMATCTCAGTCTCACAGACTGAACAGTTTAAAGAGGCTCATACAGGGATGACATGAGGACGCAGTGGGGCACTTTAAGTCGTGTACAGACCCCCATATCTGAGACCACAGTCACTTCAGATGCTGTTTTTTACAGAAAAACTCCATCTGCAGAGTATYCGCCTAATCCAAACTGACCTACGATCAGCCTTGGGGTGAGTTTTATGAACAACAACTGGAGCTAGAAGCCCCAAATGATACACGTGGAGAAGAGTGACAAAAGGCTTCCTGCGTGACCACAGAAATCCTCACTRATGGAAAAAAAGGTTTTTGATAGAACCTTTTTTATATTGGACGATTACCGTGTCCTGTAAATCAACCCAAAATTGGAAAAGTAGTGATATTGTGCTTTATTCAGCACAGAGTGCACACTAACCGCTGTGGTACTGTGTGTGTGTTTTATCTACTTTGACAGGGTTCACACAGGCTAGACTTAGTTATYAGGCAGCTGGGAAAGGAGTGGGTGGCCAAAGAGCTCCCGGTGCTGGACAGAGCCGGTCCAGACGTGGAGGCCCAGTCAGTCTGCCCATCATGGGCGGGGTCCAGGAAGGAGGAACCTGTGCCTCAGATCAACTGTAAAAGTGAGCATAATCAAAATCAAATGCCTGACTGAAGGAGCGATCCACTTTAATCCAGGGAATAAGTTTGTGGAACGGTCTGGAAAATGAGGTTAAAGATGTCAGATCTTTGTATATATTAAAGAGAATGATGAAATCTAGTGTTCTGAAGAAATATGGAGAAGCATAAGTGAATTCATGCTAATTGTTGTTTTGAGT